ATATATATACAAATATACATATATAAATAAATAATATATACAAATGTATATAAAAAATAAACATTTATGTATTAAAAAAAATATACATATGAAAATTACATTTCCTTCTCAATTAAAAATCAAACCTTGTTTGTTATTTTTAAGCTTATTCTGTGACAGCTTCCTAAAAGTAAACAAACTAACGACAACTCTAGTTTTTGTAAAATAAAAAGATTATATATCTTATATATATATATATATATATATATATATATATATATATATATATATAAATAAATATAAGACATGGTGGTATGAAGGAGCTATTGTTAGGGTAAAAACATAACAAGAATTATTGTCACTCTTACAGTTATCTTACTTTATAGAAGGAAAACAATGTTTCTGAACATTTTGAGCTGTTGTATTAAAGTCCAGCTGGTTTGAAATAAAAGTAGAATCAAAATACCTTCCTACCTACCGTGTCTACTGGCTGAGCTGATGTTCCACGTCAAAATAACCTACACTAAATTATAAAAACATTTATGAAACTCTGCTTTAAAGGCTCAGGTGGGATTGTTGCTACGCTGATTTCTCATTTTAGAAAGGAAATTCACTCCAACAGTGAGAGAAATGTTATTAAAAAGGCTCTCTGACCATGACTTACTCACTTAGCAAACATGTTACTAGCTGACAGACGCTCAGCGGAACCGCAGAAATCCCAAACTACTTCCGCCTCCTGAGCTTCAAAATAAAATTCCCAAACTCCAGATCAAGAATAAGGAGCTTTTTTCATTATTTGTTCATATAATTAATTTCAATATAAGATTTGCCTAATACCAGCTCATAACCCTTTCTACTTTTCACTTTTTTTCTATGATGTTTTCTGCCTATATTAATCCACTAAAATTGGGTCACTTTTACTTTGATGTATATGTCATCTGGATTTTTTTTATAATAAGTTGTTAGTGCATATAAAATTATTCTGCTTTTCAATTGTGCAGACACCTATTAGTTAATTAATGGATATACTTGAAGAGCCAACTGGCAACAGAATGCTTACTGGGCATGGGCTGTGATATTACAGCACTTTTTCCGTTAATAGAGGTGTTCATTTTTAATAAATCCCCTTTAATGTCTGCATATATTTCACAAAAATCCTAAATTGATAAAGGAGGTTAATCTTTCTGCCAGCTGAAAAAATAATCCAGAGCAAAAACGTAGGAGGGACAACAGAGCATTAAAAAGTTCTCCACACTCTTATATTTGAATCAGAAATACTTTAATCATCCCACGGGAAACTAATTTTGTTACACGCTCCAGATACAGCGTGTAACAAATATGTATATATATATATAT